GTGGTTAACTGGCTTACCTAGCGGGTTGAGTTGGGTGCCATCACGACTAGTTAGATTTTGGGTCGTGACATAATGACAACTCACTTAGAATATATTTTATCTTCTAATATTTTATCCTTGTTGTTTAATGTTTGTACTTTTAACAATTTGATTCTTAATACTATACTACAACTGATTTATATGATGAATTTTGAAAAGAATGACTTGAAGTTTTTGCAAATTAGTTAATTTAAAGACTTTCTTTGGTTAATTAATTTAAGGACTTAATTATTTCTTCTTAACATTGAAGATAATACTTTATTTTTGTTGATTCAAATCCTAATATTAGCTCATCCTAAGTTTTACATAGTTAAATGTAATTATAATTTTTATCCAATAAGAACTCTATGTTAAGAGTAATAAGAAAATCGCTATGACATACCACTTTTAGATTTTTGTATTATTATAACCATTAGTGTTACTGAATCTTACCAACACTTCTCTTTCTTTTATATTCTTAAAATTAAAATATTTTTTTAGTTAAGCTTGATACTCAAATTATAAAAAAAAAAATGATAAACTTTTGAGATTACTATGTCTGTGATTGCTAGATATTTATTTTTACTCCCAAGCATGATTTAATAACATAAAATTTAATTAATATCAAAATTTAAATATAAAAAAATAATAATTGAATGACTATTTTATTATTTAAAAAAAATACACGTAAACCTTTAAAAAGACTCTTAAACCTGAAAAAAAAAATAAGGACTCCAAATCATGAAAAGGAAAGTAAGGAAATTTTATAACAAAAAAGATACTTGTAAACCTAATATTAAAACCAATACTACTAAACTTTTATAACAAAAAGGATACTCGTAAACCTAATATTAAAAAAAAATACTCCTCAAGTGATTAGAATTCGATACTGTAAATCTAAATGTAGTTTATATGAAGGACTCCAATTAAATAACATAATTTTCTAGATCAAAGTCTTAAGTATTAGAAAAATAATTAAGTGATTATTTCTAAATATTAAAAAAATAATTAAATGACTCTTCCTACAGTTTAGAAAAATGACTTAAATTATTATTTTATCAAATATAAAAGCTAGTAAAGAATTTAAATTATAAATTAATAGTAAAATTTAAATACTAAGAGCTCTTAGAATATTTTTAACATTATTCTTTTATTAATGAATAAAGTTGACAAAGGTGAATATACATACAAGAAACTAAATAACTTAAATTACTATTTTGTCAAATATAAAAGCTAGTTAAGATTTTACCTTATAAACTAATAGTAAAAATTAAATACTAAGAGCTCTTAGAATATTTTTAACATTATTCTTTTATTAATGAAGAAGGTAGACAAAGGTAAATAAAGGTAAATATACATACAAGAAACTTCCTTTTATAGATGTGCTTTTGTGACTCAAGTATAATTATCATTGTTTTTGCATGTTTATATCAGGAAAAGGAGACTGAAAGTCAAATGCTTAGGACGAATAACAATAATTGATATTTAGTATATAGTAAAATTCATATATTTGTTGTTCATTATTGTGTTATTTTTTAACTAACAAAATTTATTCCTAATATAATATATTCTGAAATGATTAAATTACTAACAAAATAAATAAAGGAAATAAACAAAAACTTAAGAAGAAGCAATACTTCTCACTACATTCCGTGTTCTTTAAAGTCTCCTATAAGAAATAGTACAAATTAAATAAGTTATATTAGTAGTTCAAATAAGGAAGGATATAATACACAAAACCTAATTGATTTTGAAATCATAAATATTTGAAAAATAATTAAATGCATATTCCTATATATTAGATAAATAATTTAAATGACTATTTTGTCTTGTGCGAAAATAACATTTTAAGGGTAAAAAAGGCGAACGATATTTCGCTAAAAGCCTTTGTGCTTTTAATATAGTATAGATATATACATATAATCATGGTCAAATACCTAGACGACCCCTTAAAGTTGACTCCAAATTCTATTTTGACACCTCAACCAAGCTCAATACCTATTGAACACTTCAACTTCAATAAAAATGTACATGTCAGCAAGACAAAAAAATCAAATTTGAAGAGAGAAAAAAAAAAGAAGAAAAAAGGCCCACCACAACCCCTTCGTTGCCCCCTACCTACCATCATCCCCAATTCCTCACCGACCTGATTCCCTAGCTACTGCAGTTCCTCGCTGAACCCCTTCCTCGTCTTCTCCAAATAACAAGTAGAACCACACACAATCACTAATCTGAGCAAACAACAACCAATTGAAATAAGCATATTTGTAAATTCGAATATAAATAAGTAATTAAATTCAAAAAATAGGTATGAATTCAAGGAAGCCAAGTCGTCTTTCTCGCAATGAAGGCTCCGAAAAATTTGAACCAAAACCCAATTCAAACCAGCTTAAAATGCACTCAAACATTAGATTCGGATTTTCAAAAATATTTCCAACAAGAATCTATAACACCCAATTGATTTCTAGTCAAAGTTTTCATATCCTTTTTCTTTTAATTCAAGCTTGAAACTCCTTTAATGGAGGTCAAATTTTCTCCTCAAATTAATTCTCATGCAGCAAACGGTCTCAACCAACAAATTCTAACTCAAATGAAATTAGAACTCCAAATTTATTCCCTAAATCTCAAAATTGAGATAGACAGTAATAGTCTATGGTTGACCCCACGAAGTTAGAGTTCAAAACTGTGATTAAACTTAGATTGGAATATTACTACATTGGAGTAAGATTTTTAAAAAATGGAGAGGCTTCTGAGTTTAGGCGGTTTGGCAGTGATGGACCGGTAGGGATGAAATTTTGTGTCAAAGGCCATGGCTATGGTGGAGTTGTGCTAGAGATGATGGTGGCAAAAAAAATAAGATTAAGGAGAGAAGAGAAAAAAAAAATTAAAATTAAGGAGTATTTCCTTTACTTTTTTTTTCCACGCTCTCAAAAGAGCGTGTAATTATAGACACTATGTCATGTCAGCATATGCGCTCAATAGGTACATTTTTATTGAAGCTAAAGTGTTCAATATGTATTGAGCTTAGTTAAAGTATTAAAATAGAAACTGGAGACAACTTTAAGGGGTCGCTTAGGTATTTGGCCTATAATCATTGAGTATTGATATTCGATACTTTTTTTTAAAATATTGACTACCGTATGGAGTACGCTTTTTTTCTTTCTACAACCTAATTTATTGATTAGGAATTCGAGTCTGTTTGAAAAGCCACCAGGTAATTGGAATTGGTGTAATCACTAGGGTAGAAATTATACAGCCTAGTAATTACATAATATTATAATTACGATGACCTGTTTGTTTGTCATAGTGTAATTACAAGTTTACTGTTTGGTTGCACAAGTGTAATTACACAGTTAAATTAAATTTTAAATGAGGTAATTATCAAAACTTAAAAGTTAATATAATAAATATATGCATATAAATAATTTTTTGTAAGTATAAATGATATTAGATTTGGTATTTACGATGTATATTTTTTCGTGAATATACATTAATTAGTAATCATATATATATATATATATATATATATATATGTATATATCAAATTAATAATAGTTGGTTTAGTTACTTATAAAAGCTAAATATAATGTCATAACATTATTTAAATATGTGACAAAACTAATCTATCAATTCTAACTAAAAATGAACAACATGCAATGTGAGCCAATGCAACTAAAACAAGTAAATTGGAACCAAGAATATAATATAATACAATTCCACTCCCCCCCCCCACCCAAAAGTTTAAATATGACAAATTCCAACATAACTTAAGATTAGGAAATATAATAAGTTTATAACCACATTCAACAGTGAAATTCTACTTTAATTGCATAACTCATTATGTGCCAAGTTTATTAATGACTCATTATTTCTAATATTAGTAGGTGTAGTTTCAAAAACTAGAATAATAAAATAAATAAGAAATAAAATATAATCAATGACATGGAATCACAAGAAGTAAAGGTAGAGAAATAAAAGATAAATAATGTACAAAAAAAATATTTTAAAATTTCAAAAGAAATTAAAAAGTAAAAAAATTATAATAATAAAAATAAAAAGTTATAAAGAAAATAAATTAAAATAAAAACAAAAAGGAAAGTAATTTAAAAGCAACATTGTAATTACACAGTGCAATTATCATAAATTCTTACCTCCCCTTGAGACTAGGACTGTTCAAAACCGAACCGAAACTGTTAACCGAACCGAATCGATGGCTTATTGGCTTATTGATATCGGATTATCGGGGTAATAGATGGTGAACGGATTGAGATTTTATAATTAACGGCTTAACGGTTTGGGGGCGGATTACATAATTTTCTTATCGGGTAAACCGTTAACCCGTTAAGAATTTTTATATCTACACTTTTACCCCTATGTATATAAAGTACTATTGAAAGTAATTTGTTGAATTGTCCGTTATCCGTAATAGCTGGAGTGTCTGGTTTTATGTCTTTTTTGCATGCATCTAACAAATTAAAGTGTGATTTTCTGGATTTTTGGTTTTACCATCTGAATTTCTTGTGAAGAACGAATGTTACTCAAAGTTTGATTTCATACATGTATGAGTATATGAACTAGATTGGAACTTGGAAGAAGACTCTTCAAAATTTAAAAATACTGTTATATCTTATATGATATTAAAAATTTGGTATTGATTTGAAACTGTTTAGCATTGATTTATGATTCTTCAAAATTTTTTTTATTTGATTTAGCCGATAAACCGCCCGATAGTCGTTAATCCGATACCAATCCGCATCGTTGTTATTGGATGGCTAGCGGATTACTACATTTATAATCCGATAACCGATAAGCCGAACCGTTAAGCGTAATTATTCGTTCGATCCGTCCAATAAGCACCATTAAATTACACCCAATTTTATACTGACCAAATAATTATTTGACCAGATAAATATGTCAAACCGTGTAATTCTAAGCTCTTCAATCTTCATGATATTAAACTATCACTTGTGCTTAGCGAATGTTCCTAAAATCTTTGAGACAAGTGATCTTTTCGTGACCTGGGAAAAAAAGGGGAGAGCTTGTTCTTCTTAATCCACTTTTACCCCTCCCTCTATTCCTCTTTCTCTTTCCTCTGTAGTCTGCAATGCTCTATCGCTTCATCTCAAAATCTTCACACCTCCTATTGCTAACCCTAGTTTCCTCCAAAACCCACTTCTTAAACCCTAAACCCTTTCCCCCTAAATCCTCATTTTCCATTCCCAAGCCTAATTTCTTTCCTAGGAACTCCTTTTTCTTCTCCACAGGTAACAACAACAACAATGGCAAAGTTTCAGACCCTTTATATACTTGGAAGCTCTCTTCTGAAACGGATGAATCAGTGTTCAATGAAGATTCAGCAAGTGTTGAGGGAACAGAAAGACAGTTTCTTGATGGTGGGTTTTGGTCTATAAAACTTGGTGGCGGTCAAGAGGGAAAAGGTACAGACTTTTTCAGTGAGAACTCTAGATTTCATCTCAAAACACTGTAAAAATGCATGCTTTATGTGTTGTTTGTAGGGCTTATGTTTATTTTGCTTAAGGTCTTACACTCTTCTTATCTATTGAGTAGCGTATTATTAGAACTACATTGTCATGCTTTCTGAAAATAAGTTCGGAGTGTAAAGATAGTGGGGAAATAAACACTGTTATCTGTAGCTGCAAATTTGCTGTCTGGTTATTTTGAATGCTTAAATGTGTTCTTGATAAAAAAAAAGAGAAGGCTGGAAAGTGTTACCAAAGTAGGCTGCTGGCCTATTACGTTCTTAACACGCTATTATTATGTATTCTGTTTAGCTTAACCAAGAAGATTTCTTGTCCCTAAGTTAAAGAGTTTGAGAAAGCATATTTATGGGTAAGTTAAACTCGATATCATTCGGCATGATCTTCTAAACCATTAGCTAAAACAAAACAGAAAAAAAGATATCATTCTGCATGATCTGGCCTTTCATAGTCGAAACAACAGTACATGTGAAGTCAAATTGTAGCTGCAAAGAGGGCTAAATTTCAAAGAGTAATGCTATTGGCTCAAACCTTATTGTCTAACTGAAAATAATACGTTCTGCAGTTTTTGTGTGACTAACCCCGTGTTTATCTCCACTGTGGCTATTCAAGCTTCTCCTAGCAGCAGTAGGATGAAGGAATAAAAGAAAGATTTTTGAGTAAAAGGTTCTAACCTTCCTGAGATTACTCAAGTCCCAAACTTTTCTGCCTCAGCTTCTCATTAGCTATAAGTCTAAACTCTTCTCATAACCTCTTTCGTTCAAGGTGTATTCTCCAGTCACATTCAATTCTCATTATCCCTTCTCAGTCGCTTCCAATTTTGTTTAGTAGTAGAAGAGTGCTGTTTCATTTAGAACCACCTAACGGTTTTCTTTTTCTAATTCCACTGGATCTCCTTCTAAATGGAATCTTGATCCAGCCCTTATTCAAAAAACCTTCTTTTATAGTATCCCACATGGATATTATCCAAGTTGCCAAGTTAATTAATACCCAATTTGTAGAAATGAATCTTTGAGATCAGTGCACATATGTATGCAGTATTCGAGATGAAGGTGCTTAGCTTCTTGTTGTTTTTTCATTTGTTTAGGCCATAATTGTGGATCCCTCATTAGAGGTGTTCGTGTACAACCTTCCGACTCAACTATGTTTTTCGTGATAATGAAAAGTTTGAGAATGTGGCAGGTTCTTGTACTGATGAATTGACAATTGAAAAGAGTAGACTTAGTAAGCCTTCGGTAAGTGTGTATTCAGAAGAAACTTTGGAAATAATTGAGATTCTCAAGGGTGGTGGGGAAGACTTGATGCACAGGTTAAGATTGGTGGCTCCAAAACTATCATTAAAGCTCATCATTGAGATTTTTGAGCTTTTGAAAGAACAAAGAATATCTGGATTAAAGTTCTTTAATTGGCTTCGAGACTCGTATCCTGAATTTTATCGCAGTGCTTATGTCAATAGTCTGATTATATGTAATTGTGGATGGTTAGATGACTATAAAACAATGTTCTCTTTGTTGGTAGAGTTTAAGACAGAAGAAATTTGTTTAACTGACAAGGCTTTTGGGTTCTTAACTCTATGTGGATCGAGTAAGGATTCATTGATGAATTCTACAAGGAAAGTGGTTGATATGCTAAATGAGGTTGGAGGATCCTGTCGTGGTTCTGGTGTTTATGGATTAATCGAGATGTTCTGTTGCTTGGACATGTTCGAAATGGCAACATTTGTAATAGAGATCACTGAAAGAACAGCTTCTCACTACAATATTTTGATCCGTAAAAGGTGTAAGGCAGGCCACATTGAAGAAGCGCGAGCTATTATCAACGAGATGTTTGAACNGCAGGCCACATTGAAGAAGCACGCGCTATTATCAACGAGATGTTTGAACTTGGTTGTTCTCCTAACACCAATTCATATAACTACCTGCTTGGCACATTGTGTAAGAATGATAAGATGGAAGATGTGTCTATTGTGCTCGAAGAAATGAGAAATAAGGGTCTCAATCCAGATGCAATAACTTATGAAACTCTAGTATATCATTCATCTAGCCGTGGTCAGGTTGACATTGCCTCCGAATTTTTGAAGTTGATGGTAAATGAGAATGTGGAACCTCGTTCTACTACTCATGCTGCCTATCTTAAGGTTTTGCTTGAGGCGGGTGAGCGTGAGAAAGCATATAAGTATGTGATTGGCATGAGCGCCAAATATAACCACTGTGGCAATGTACTATACAGCTTGCTGGTGAGGCTTCATCAGAAGAAAGGAGACCTTATGACTGCTCAAAACATTCTTAATGAAATGATTGACAAGGGTCTCAAGCCGGACTTTGGAGTTTTCATTGAAGTTGTAAAGCAGCTCCAGAAGACGGACAGGAAATCTTTATCTCGAGATCTTAGGACCAAATACTTAGTTTTCTATTGTAGTGACATACAAAAAGCTAGCAATTCTTTATCTAATTCTTTTGTCCCATGCCAAGGTTGAATGCATCTCTCTAGCTGTTTTGTCTATGGAAGAAAGGGTAGGAGTGTGCATTATATGGTTTTAACCAAAAAAAACTGTCAAAGAAAATTTTCAGTTGTCTCAGCTTTCAACTTAGATCCTCTCAGCCTTCCAGTTTGCTGTCACCTTCAACTTCCATTGCAGTTGCTGCTGACATTGCCTCGCCTCTCCTCAGCCTCCACAAACGGCACCTATGTTACACCTCCCAAGGTTTGATTTTCTGTTTATCCTCTGCTTCAGGTCCCTGGTCTTTATTTTTGTTATTTTCACTTTACTATCTACATTGTGCAATCTGTGTTACTAAAGTATTTTTCTTCACCTTCATGGCTGTGTGGTTTCCACATTCCACTCTCTTACTCACTGGGTATATGCAGATACGTGCATCGATGATCATCTAAAGCCAAAAAGCCAATCAATCACATACAAATACAGAGGAAAGAGGAATGCCTCATGTTTAGCAATACTGCTGGTCAGGTCATTTCTTGCAAAAGTGAATTCTTTGTCCTAGACTTTTGTAAAATTGATCTATGTTCTGCCTCTTCTTGGTTAGCTTATTATTATACGAATTCTTTATTCTCATTTTTCTGTATTTTCTTAAATTATCCTGATCATGATCGTATGTAAGAAATTGGTTAAGTTTGACTGGTCATTTGCAACTATTTCCGACATGGAATACTTTTCTCTTATCTCGATTTCTTTATTGTTTTTGGCAAGCTTGATTCTTAAATTGTGCGGTTTATAACTTATATTAAGAGGTGTAATTTTTATAATTCTTTAATGTAGCTTATTAAAAGAAATACTTAACTCTTTAATGTCTTTTCTTTAATTTTCATTCTCAGAAGGTGGATTAGTTATTGGGGAGAGGTGATTAGGCAGGGTATGGCATATCTTCAGCTTGCCGAGGACATGACCCTTGATAGGAGGGGGTGGAGGTCGATGATTAGGGTAGTGAGGAAGTAAGCAGTCATGCGTAATTCCTTTTCATACTTGTATTGCTTTTCTATACTTGAAGTACTAGTGTATTCTCAGATTTCCTATTCTTAGATTTCTAATACTACGTGCTATTTTTTTGCTTTGGTTGTCTTATTTTCTAGCTATGGTTACTGCTTCTCTTTACATGGATTCTTCTCTGCTATATTTCCTTTTCTAAACTGCTATGATTATGCTTTTCTTGAGGCGAGGATCTATCGGAAATAGCCTCTCTACCTTCACAAGGTAGGGGTAAGGTTTGCATACACACTACCCTATCCAGACCCCACTTATGGGACTACATTGAGTATGTTGTTGACCAAATCATAACTCTTTTTTGAATGGAGGGAGTTGGTCATTGTCATTCTACATGGTAGAAATCTATGATATTTGCATGCTTGGCTTTTGGAAAATGATTTTGAGCACATGGGTTTGACTCTCTTTTTCTGAATCAGTTTTACATTGACACTTGGTTTCATTGTTTTCCATTTTCATTTACTAGGTTGAGTAAATCTTGGGTGAACTTGAATTACATGCTGCAGCTGTGGTTGCATGGGAGCCAGGAACCCATGGTTAATTCAAGAAGTAGAGGTTGCACCTCCACAGAAAATGGAGGTTCACCTGAAGATTCTGTTCGCCTCCCTGTGCCACACTGTTATTTCTGGAAAGCAAAAGGTAAAGACAGTCCTGTTGTAGGCTTATTCCTCTAACTCTATGTAAGGATATATAATTCAAATCCTTGTTCATATTGTGGCTTTGTCTTCTTGCAAGTAGCGTCTGCTGTTGTAAATTGTTAAGTGGATGAATAATCAAATTAAAATAGGCAACATTGATTCTCCAATGCTCTCATTATAAGAGTTAAATCATTCTCTTGAGTGTTTCAACTTTCATGCATTTCTAGTTGTACTTTATTTACTAGCATAATTTTATTTGATGGCCTAGAAAACTGTATGGTGTAATTGTATAATATGTTGAGATAATCAATACCTCTATGGAATCTAACCGTTGTGTTGAATTATATATGTTCATTACTAGTAGTATTGATTGAATGAGTAGGTCTCTCCTTTCTTTTCTTTGGTGCACTACTGAAACCCATGTTCATAATCTTTATGGCTCCCTCAATTAATTACACCGGCGTGTCTTATTGAATCCTTTTACCTTATTCCTTTTCTATACCAGGCGATCTGTGTGTGGGATATTTCCCTTGTATCTCTCAGCTGTTATCACCTCATTTCCTCTACTTTTTTGGAAATGAAGCTGAAAGGTATAAATATATGTAGATCAAACTGTGATGATACTGTTCCTTTTATGGGGTAGTATTTGCAAAAGTTGTCATCATTCTGCACTTGAATTGTGATTTGTGGTTTATTATTTTGGCATGCTTGGACTTGTACTAACATAGTTCAAGTTCATGATTATAAAATTAGCTTATTGCATGTTTTTGCAAGGAAAATACGTGTTTAGATTGTCTATGCTGAGATATAATTTCAGATTTCCCATCCTATGCGTCAATGGTTACTGCGGGTCCTTCTCCAGCCGATTCTTATGAATTCTGATCTTTTGTGTTGTCTTAACCGTTTGTTTCCATGGAGGTGAATTGTATCCAGTATTAACATGCTGAAATGTTTGCTGTGACATTATTTATTAAGAGCTTTGCAAGTAAAAGTTTATTCACTTCGCACAGACTTAACTACAGAACGTAGTTATAATGCTTGGTGACATTATCTGGGAAGCTTTCGAAGTCTACTAAATGATAGACTCGCTAAATCTATCTGGACACGGCTGAAAAAAGGGAAATTACCTGTGAACTCTGGCCATAAGCAAAGGATGGCTAGTCTCAAGCCATGGAAGAAAATCTGGAAAAGGAAACCTCTTTTATAAGGTAGCATGTTTCTGTAGGAGAGTGCTCAGTAGTTGTCACTTAACATTGATTTACATAAAAGGAGATGTCACGTGCAGAAGATGTTATCACCTCTCCTTTCTTTGTGTTTTGGCCTCACAGATATGACTGTGTTTTCCTCATCTTTAATATGAGGTGGACTTTGCCCAAGACAATTAAGGACCGGCATTTGGTGATTTTTTTTGTGGAAAGAAAAAGGCAAGTTTTTTTTTTCTCTTTTTTAAGCGCAAAATAGCAATATACATGGACTGAAATATAGGTGTCTTTATCTTTTGGCTTTTTGGTGTATAATGGGAGTATAATACAATCTCTCGAGTGTTCTGTTTTATTCAATTTCCTAAAAATAAACGACATTCGATCCAAACATAAGATGTCAAGATTTGTTTAATCCTTTTAGTTTTTAAAATCCTCAATTTAAGTCTAGCTCCTTACCAAATAGAAAAGTAAAAAGTAACATACAAACTACAGAACAACTAGAAAAACAATGCCCCATATTCGTGAGGTCAAGGTTAAAATCTTGATTGTTACATTTTTCTCCTAAATCTTTGGGAAACCAAGTTTATATTTGGGGTGTAGGTGTTTATTGTTTGAAATTAAAGACTTTGCATTTAGTGTTTAATATGCAACATAAAATATTCAGCATTTCAGGCTCATGCATTAAAAAATTGCAGGGCTTTCACTATTACATTCAAAGTTTACACCGTCTGCCTTGTAGGAGGAGCCATTATTATAAATTTAGGGGTTGAGTTTGAGTGTTTTCTCTTTTATTTCCTTAATTTTCAAATTTTGAGGTTCTTTTCTAGGATCCCCTGAAATTAGGACGTCGAGGTCGCTAATTAACACGTTCTGTGTTAAATTAAGATATTTTGTTTTTTAATTTACTTGAACACTTCTAAAATTCCACAACTGCTCTATGCAATGCAACAACTATGACTAAACATAAAGTTAAGTAAAGAGTTTCGCTAACCTACTACGCTCAGGTAGCAGGTTAGCATATTACCAATGTATGCATATTTAATTTTCCTTAAATGTCCTTGAGACCAAAGTAGATGCAACTCGGATACGGGTTCGTTTGAATAAGTATTTTTGACGCGGAGTATAAATTTATATATAAAAATTTATTAAAATTGCACTAAATTATAAATATGAATGCATAATTTTAAAAATACAATATGTTTAATAAACATTCTTTTCTAGTATAAAAATAACTTAACGCTGCTCAGATATAGAAATTAAAGATAACATGCTCAATTAATGGAGCCGGGACTCCTAACTAGCATATAAGGATGTCAAGTAACAATTAACAATTAAATGAATACTTCTAAATAAGTCAATAATTTGAATGTATGCTCAAACCAGTACAAGATCCATGTACCCCGATACACAATTCATGTATCAACATAACCTAATACAAAATTCATGTATCAATCCGGTACAAAATTCATGTACCGACCATGCACAGATGGCCCAAGGTAACATGGGTAATCACCTGATACAAAATTCATGTATCAATCCGGTACAAAATTGTAACGACCCGACCGGTCGTTTTGAGTATTAGCATTCCGTTAAGTGGCTTAAGGTCTCGAGCAACTCCGTATTATGTGTTATGACATGCGTGTGTAGTCGAGTTCGGACTTCGGATGATTCGGGATTGATGTAGAAGAAGGATTCGTGTTTTAGAAGCTTAAGCGATAAAAGTTGACCGGAATTTGACTTTTGGGTAGATGACTCCAGAATGGAATTTTTATAGTTCCAATAGTCTCGTATGGTGATTTCAGACTTAGGCGTGCGTCCAAATTTGGATTTGGAGGTTAGGAGGGTAATTTGAAGGACTAATTGAGGTCGAAAATTGATAATTTTGGTATGGTTGAAATCAATGTCGAATGAGTATTCAGTTTTTATAATTTTAGTCGGGTTTTGAGATGCGGGTCTGGTCGACTTTTTGGAGCGATTTTTTAATTCTTAGCTAAGATCATTATTTCATTATTTAAATTAGTTTCCTATAGCTATAATTATAGTATGCAATTATTTTGGCTAGATTCAAGTCGTTCGGAGTTGGAAATTGAGGGAAAAGGCCTACTAATTGATTGATTGAGTGTGGTTTGAGGTAAGTATCTTGCCTAACTTTGTATGGGGGAATTACCCCTTAGGTATTGAGTCTTTGATGCTAATTGTGTCATGTGAAGTTTGTGTATGCGAGGTGACGAGTACGTGCTCGGGCTTATTTGTGGAAAGTTGATCTTTTAGGGCTCTTAGGTCCTTATGTTCATTAGATATGAAGTTGTTTTATTATGTTAAGTTCCCCATTTACTAGTTTCACTCTACGTGTATTATTTGAAATTAATTGCTTCATGTTCAACCTTTATTGCCTATTTAACTATTGTGTCCCTTAACTGAAGTTGTTGCCTCTTCGATTGCCATGCTATCCTTTCCGTTGCTTATCCTTAATTGAATTTGTTGCATCTTTTCATAAATGATTAACCCTAAATGAAGTTTAGTTATTATTTATCGTAGTTGCCTCATCCTTATTTAGAATAATTTATCACATATTATTTCTCTCCTGTTGAGCCATTATTATGAGCTAGTATTGCCTATCGTGTTTATTCTTTGTGAGCTCGTTCTACCGCTTCTTTGTGATCCAAAGCTCTTGAGTTGATTTACTTGTTGTATTCTCGTGCTATTGTTGTTGTTGTTGCTTTTGTACTCAGTTTGTTGAGCCGAGGGCTATGCGCGGTTGTGGTATTGACACTATTTAGATGAAATATTGTGGAATATGGGCACATGTTGTGAAAGTCATTCTATTGTGATGTTGTGTGTTTGGCACATGATATTGTTGGAAGGTTTTGTTCGGGTGTTTGCACGAGATTTCTGGCGTGCAGTCATTACTATTGATATATGCATATGCGATATGACAAGGCGGGCTATATATGTGGGTATGCGCATGTGGCGAGACAAGGTGGGAATATTATTATGTGCGTGCGACGAGACAAGGCAGGTATTTACTTTATTATTGCCATGTGGCGAGACAAAGTGGGTTATATCGGGGATTGATTTGTGATGACTTGATATGGCCTGGGGGCATTGTTGTTGTTGTTGTTGTTGTTGTTGTTGTTGTTGTTGTTGTTGTTGTTGTTGTTGTTGTTGTTGTTGTTGTTATTGTTGTTGTTGATATTTGTGTAGTGGCGTGCCTAACTTGTGTGAGTTTTACTTTGTGCAAATTGTGGGGATCGTTCCTTATGTTCCATTCATATTTCTCTACTCTTATTCGTTGGTCCGAACTGTGATAGAACACTTGCACAAACATACACGTACTTTGTCACCCTATCGGTTTAAGAAGATGAACACTGATACTACCGATCATTTGTACGAACTCCGTTTACTTGTCTTATATGTGAGATTGGATTTATTGGCATGTGAGTCGTCCGTGCAGTTATCCGTTATAATGAGGGAAAAAGATGTCAAGTGATTAGGGTTCATGATTTGGGACCCGTGAATTGTGTGAGTTTTGAGGTTTGGTACCTCGTGGGGATTATTGAATAAACCTGGTGCGAAAGCGGTTATTCTTATCAAGTTGCTACTTGTCTTTCTTTTATTTGTTTTTCACCTGATCTAAACTGTGACCAACTTACTCTACTGTGTTATTATTGGCGGTGTCCCGCTGTAAATTGTTGCTTCTATTTCCTATTGCAAGCACCGTATCATTTTTGTCATTATGCGTAGTTCTGTAGAGATATCATACTCTGTTAGTTCTATACATATACTTGTTCAGGTATCTAGTCCAGTAGGTGTCTTGACTGTTCCTCATTACTACTTCACTGAGGTTAGTCTTGATATTTACTGGGTACCGTTGTGGTGCACTCATACTACACTTCTGCATATTTTTGTGCATATCCAGGTAATTCGGAGTCAGTCGATCACTAGCTAGCTATACGGATCTTGCTGTGGAGACTCAAGGTAAACCTACTGCTGCGTTCACAGGCCTCAGAGTCACTTTCTGTTATTGTACTTGCACTGTTTTATCTCTATTTCGAAACAATTGTATTTAGGGTTTTTTGTAGCAAACTCAGTAGAGCTTATGACTTGTACTACCGATTTTAGGAATTGTAAGTTGTGTAATAAGGTGCTATTTTAAATTTTTTAGTTGTTGGTCACATTCTTCCATTAATTCAGTAAGTATTAGGCTCACCTAGTCTTAGAGACTAGGTGCCGTCACGACATCCTACGGAGGAAAATTTGGGTCGTGACAAAAATTCATGTACCGACCATGCACACATGACCCAAGGTAACATGGGTAATCACATGACTCCGGAGAGATAGATCCACATCCAAGCGCAAAGAGGAACATAATAGCAACACTCGTAAATCAATATCCAATCATCATTTCCTGTGTGCCATAACGGTATCTCATCCGCACGGTTTATCTTTCATGAAAAAATTCTCAGTCCAAATCAAGTATCCTTATTCAACATGTATGCATATGCTAAAGAATTAAAGATAAAAGGTACACAAGGACTTAATAAAAACCATACAGATATGTGCTCATGAAATCTTTATGGGACTAAGGACAATATAAGCAATTCAACATATCAAGGATAATTTATCATGCCTTCGTAATTGATCATAAACCTATGCATGATTTTTAACATGAATAGGAAAGCAAACGTAGTCACATAAATCAAATAAATCATGAATCAAATGAGTACATATGCAAAACGAGGCATACAATATTTCAATTTTACCTCGGTCATGTTATAAACTCGGTAAATGCATATACGCTCGCTACCACATATATACACCACCCCAATAGCTTAAACACACAGAAAACAAGTCAAATCCTAGGGGTATCCCTCTTAAAAAGATTAGCCAAGAGATTTACCTCCACCCGGTAGCCTAAATATCACCAAAAATGCCAAATCCTCAAAAATCCAACTCCAAATGACTCAAATATAGTCAAATACAACCCAATAACATCAAAGAAAGGCATATAAATCGAACCCAAATAATACATTTTAAATCTTTAATCAAATAGACAAAGTCAATACGAGCTCGCCTTCCGAAATTCCGACAAAACTCATAAATTCTGAACGCTCATTCTGATACATGAAATTCAAATATACAAGTTTCATCTAAAATCGATCCCAAATCGGGGTTCAAATCTCAATTATTCACTTTGCAAAAGTTTTGCCAAAAACCAACAAATTTCTTTAAAATCCAAGCTTTTAAGTGTAAAAATCCATGGAATATCATAATATAAAGTCAAATCCAAATGTAAATTGCTTACCTCCAAAGATGTAGTGAATTTGCTTTTCAAAATCTCCCAATCTCGAAGTCTAGGGCTCAAAGTATGATAA